ACATATCAGAAACTCTAGCTCATCAACTTTGATCATGTATTGTTCCTCGGTGGGGCTGTGCGTTGGAATCACCCCTCAATACTTTAGGTCGAAGATAAGTTGCTTGTTATTACCCAACCCAAATTCGGGTTCAACAACATAAACTAGATGACTGATCGAACTTTTAAACCATTATATTTGTTTTTCTTGTTGCAAACTAACCATCTTATCTGTGAAAATACCAAAACAACACTATAGTGTGCTACAATTACGAATTCCGAGTGAATGGTTTTCATTCATGGTGAACTAACAGGCATTGATGGCGTAAAACTAAGTGATGGTCGGGTGATGCTTGCTTATAACACGGTCTCTAGGGTCGTGCTAAAAGTTGCGATTTCAGTAGATGATGGAGATTCGTGGAAAGATGTTGCAACATTGGAGGAGACTGAAGGAATGGAATTCTCGTATCCAACAGTTATCAAAGCAAGCTATGGATGTGTGCATATAACATATACGTATAACCGGACACAAATTAAGGTGGGATGTTTTAGGTTCCATAAATATAAAGTTTCTTGATTATAAGTCTAGTGAATTTGGACTAACTTTTGATGTTTTCAGCATGTGTTCTTCAACCCAAAACGGTGCAATGATGTTCTACCATACATATCTTACAAGGGATCTTAAGGTATTTTTCCATGGAACAGATTCTTTACAGACGCTAATAGTACACCTCATCTTTTACAGACGCTACTGTTTGGTGGAATATATTATGTTCATTTGGTTTGGCATTTTGTATATTTATACATCATGATTCTTGGTTTTGGTATAAAACAGTTTAATGTTGATAACTTTGATGTATGTCAAGCAGGTGTGCTCATTCGTCTATTGAAAAGGAGGACATTCTAGGTTCATCTCAATTAGGACCTGCCAAACCAACCATCTCCCTCTGGTTGACTGGTTGGAGGATCGGTTCGAGGGTTAATGATAGTTAAGACCGACATAGGACTCGAGACCTAACCCTACCACCGGTTACTTGAACTGGATTTGTGATCAGTCCGGGTTAACTAAACTGGGCCTGGACCTTACCTGGTTATGGCCTAAATTGATCGGTCCAATTAACCTGTCGACCCAACCAGTTAAGCCATTCAAAATACAAACCGGTTCACAACCAGAACTATATATATACACACACATAGAGGGAGAGAAAGTCGGGTTCATACAGGAATGATACCTATTTAAAAAATAAGAGAATATCACATGTGATTTTACACTAATATCATGTCCAAAATCACGTGTGATTTGCACGACCTTGCCATATGTGATTTTACACTAATATCACGTGCAAAATCATCTTGATTAAGCTTTGTATGTTTCTTGTCCAAAATGAGATGACTTATTTTCTTTTGTTCTTGTATGCTGGAGGTGAGCTTATGGACTTTATAATTGTGCTACATGACTTTAAAGMTGTGAAAACATTCTRTWGTCTTATGMTTTTTCTCTTGGAGCTGGTTGCAGTGCTGCAGCAGGACCTCTTGGGAGAGTTTTGGAAGCTGATCTTCGAGCTGGTGATAGAGGCTTTGGCATCTGCTACACTTATAGTTGTGGCAAAKGTATTTATCATAGCTGGTGATTTGTGCTTCTTCTCTCCAATCCTACTGTTTTGATTTATTCTTTRGATATGGGATTGATTTTTTAGGCTTCGATTATTTTTGGTTTTGTTGAATGACTTCATCATTTTCAAAAAAAAAACATAACCTTTTGGTTTTCTAGCATGTTTAAATAACGTTCAAGAAGACATTTGCTCCTTCTTGTGTTTTTGGGGAAATTTAGTACCTTAAATCTTTTCATGACATTCTTAGCTCGATCATGCAGGAAATTGATTTGTTGGTCTAAACCGTCAAACAACGCTACTGGATCATAAAGAAACTTCATAATCTTGAAGTTCAAAGAACAGCCTTGGATTTTGTGGAATGCGAAAGGGAATTTGTAGACCCYTTGGATARTTTGGTATGGATGCTTTCACGATGGCTGTTAAAGTGGAGATTGGACTATGGTGCAGTTGATCTAAAGGCGGTTGGGATTGATTTTTGGTCATTTTGATTAATTAGGATATTGGTTTMTATTTCGATTTGTTTAAGATAATTTATTTGTTTTTCAAATGTCTTCACTAGAAATCTTTTTCTTCCTTCATTATAATTATTTGGACAACATAATTGATTTTCATGCTTGTGTACAATAAAGTTCACCTTGATTCCTTATTTGTTACATTGTACTTGATTACATCTCGTTGCATCGGATGAGTAGTCAATTAATAGGAATTGAGGTTTAAATATTTTTAAGGGTTCTCTTGAAAGATCGAATATTTAAATATAACTTTTGTTCTTTGTAAAGAATAATTGCACGAATGTTTAGTTGTAGGTTTATTAGAAAATTTGACATTCCGCCGCATTGCGCGGGTACACAACTAGTTTGGTAAGTAATAAAAGGTAAAACTTGAAAACAAACAAGGTATAAACGTTTATCGGATAAGAATTATCATTCTCACTTTTATAATCTTGATTTCTTTTGGAATAATACTCCAACTTTAAATTCACAAATAAATCGATCAACTTTTCTTTCAATTATGTGGCATGCAAACTGGGAATCAAAATAAAAAACCCACATAAAAATTTTACTTGTCATTTTTTATCAAGAAAACGCATTCCAATGGTTGGATATATCTTTAATTTGGGAGGCAAAAACATTCCACATTGCCGGTATAATCTCACCAATTTGGCGAATGATATTGGACAATGAATCGGAGTACAATTCACTACTATATTTAATTTTTAGTATTATTTTATATGTTTATTAATTAGTTTTTAAATTATGAATCATGTCTGCTAATTTAATTTAGAGTTCGTTTCCTCTGAGAATAAAATTAAGGTGAGAAACGTAAGAATATATATTTCCACCATTCGAAGCATATTAGGATGAAATGCATCAAATCAATTCATGTGAGAAGTGCAATTCATGATGAATAAGAGATTAAAAATGATCAATGGTCCAAATATTTTATTACGCTTCTCACATTAACCTTTTTTCTCACACCATTATTCGCCACCTAATTTATTCATATAAATACCATAATTAAATATTATATAATTACGATCATTAATTTATAATATAACATTGTAATAAAAAAATGGAAATTAACACCCCTTTTATTAAAACAATATTTATTATCTAGTTAAAGTTTAGTAATGACCGAAGTGAATAAGTCAAAATATATATATTTGTCTATATTCAATCGTACAATTTAAAACGTGTTCTAATAGAATACTCATTAAATTAGAAAAGAAAAAGGTAGTATTAAATGGCCCAAGATTGGTCAAAATATGGCTACAAACTCTATTTTTCAAGAAAATTGTGCCTATACACATGTCAATTTCTGTTATTTAGGTTATTTTTATTACATGGTAAGTGATATAATTCATTGTTACATGTTTGACGTGAAATAGTACAAGACAAACACTCATTGTCACATGTTTGGTGTGACATGAGACAGAGACAAGAACGGGGACAAAAAAAGTTTTTTTGTTGATGAAATAAGAATGAGACATAAACGAAAATATTACTAATTGTTTGATATATAACTATAATATGATATTTGTTTTAGTGGTTATCACTGCTAGTTGCGATTGTCACCACCACCCATAGCCACCTCCACCTCCACCTCCACCTCCTCCTCCACTACAACAACTTCCACCACCTCCTCCACAAATTGTCGACCACCACTATTTATCGCCACCTCCACAACAACCGTCAACCTTCGATCACCACCATTCATCGCCACCACTACTACCACCATTGGC